TCAAAACTAACAGAATTAATTTGGCGCAATTGAATTTATTTGAAATTCATGTGTAACGGTAATCCTTCCGAAAAGTCGTTACTTTTCCAAACGGCTTTCCTTCCGAAAAAATCGTTACTTTTCCCAAAGGACACAATGTTCTGGAAAAAACGGGTCTTTCTGAACAGACGCGTTCCTTGCTGCATATGGCTAATAAATAAGAGATTCTTTTTCGTTTTTTACAAGCACTAGTTAAAATTTTTTCCTTCTTTGCATACTATTTTCTCTCATAAATAAAATTGTCGATCGACTGAGTCTGTGTGTGCTCTTGTTGCTGTTCTTGCGTTCGCTGAAGTTATTGAAGTTTGAGGTACCGCTACTTCTTTAACAGGTTAATCCGTTTTATCTTGGGGAGAAATTTAATCTGCAACCTCGGGTACAGTGAGGGGATTAAATTTCTTTAAGGAAACATAGTGGTTTCTGTGGACTCGGATTAAAATTCCTTCTGTCTATTTCATCTTTTTTTCTGTTTATGTATTTTTGACTAACCTGAATACAGGAGATAACAATATATATATACATGAATGGTGTGTACATTATTTGTACTCCAAAATGGACCTACATTCTTATGCATTAAGTAAAAAAAAATTCCCCACACTAATCTAAAAATTAGGACCAAAGAAAATGTCCATAGCCAGCTATTGGTCAAAATTAGTGTAATATACTTTTGTTTCACCAAATTCATAAAATACTAAAAGTCTACTAGAAGACTAATAAGAGTGAGTAAAACATATTATATAAAAAAATACAAATATACCCAATTTTTGTGTTGTGATTCTTTTGTTATGTATAAAGTTTGAAATTTTCAATCCCTATTTTCTTTATTTATTTACCTACCTTTTAAAAGTACAAAGTATATATATTATATAATCGAATGTTAGATGTACTTTGAAGAAATTAATTATTGTGTACATAATAATCACCTTGTAAATTCTTGTTACTTTCTTCGAGTCAAAATTTGGGTAATGGACATATAGTAAGCTATATTAGATTTGTTTCTTACCATTTTTTTTTCTCTCTTTTACTCAGGGTTCGATATTTTTGTTGAGGTTCAATTAAACTGTTACTGTGCATTATAAGACATATTTTTTTGGGTCGACTCTCCCAATGAAAGAGCTCATATTCAAGTCAGGCATATATTACTTGTCATGAAGTCACCTACTTATTAGAAGTCTCCGGTTCAAATTTTGATTAAGAACTTTTTTTATTATGGAGCAATTTTAATTTTTTTTAGACGATTCAAATTAATTCGAACTCGATATGAATACACTAGTCATCGAACAACTAATTTTGATTACGAAAACATTAGTCATTTGGTTAGTTATAATATATTATTAGCCAACCCCATGAGATAATATTAAACAATTAATTATCTATCACTATCATGAAGAAACAAAAGCCACCTATTATATCCTGGTTAAAAATGTTTTCTATGGGCTGGCTAATTTTCAATAGCTGTTTCAATATCTTGATTGATTTAATTTCTTGCCAAACCTGTTAGATATATATAGAAATATCTTAAAACATGTTTTCATAGTTTAATTCTCAATTTGCAGATAAGTACAAAATTAGATTAACATGGTGTTCTAAATTAGAAGGCGTTTGGTAATAGATTTCAATTTATTTATTTTTATTTGAAATATTATGAACTTCGAGTTGAAGATAAAGTTATGTTTAATTATATTTTTATGTCCAACATGTATTTTTTAGTAAACGTGTATTTACTGGGGGAAAGTATTATAAAGGTATGTTGATTCTCATATGAACAAAGAAAAATATTGAAATATCTCGAAGATCATATTAATACATCAACACTTTATTTTATTTTTGAATTTTTCACCCGATGTTTGAGAAAAATTAAAATGTGGCAACTTTGAATGTTGTCTATGTTTTGAACAAAAAGTAAAGAAGTGTTTTGTTTTTAAAGGAAGACATGATATAAGCATAGTCCAAACAACATACCATGGACCTGGGCTTAAGCCCAAATCAAAATTTGGACAATCTCTTTTAGGTATGGGTAGGTAAGTTAGAGGCCCAACTATTTATTTTGTGACCTTATGGGGGACGAAATGCACAAATACTCGCTTTCGAAATCGTTATTTAATTTAATGCTAAAGCTTTTCGACAAGCTTACTCACTTGAGACAAATTCAAATGTATGTGACTGAAGTTTAAAAATTCATGTTTGAATTTAAACATTTATTTTGAAATATAGCTTTGCCATTTGTCTGTAGTTTTGTACGATTTTCCATGACCAAAAACGTAAAATACTTTTAACTGAAGTTGCGAATTCCATAAGTTTAAACTTCAAACATAAATCTCGAAAAGTGTAGTTATGCTTATTTTGTGCTCGTCTATAATTTATACCCCTTATAATAAATAATCTTTTCACAATGCAAAAATGTATATTTTCATATCACAATATATCAGAAGTTATGTTAGGACATGAATTCAATTTCTAAAGAATTTATTATTCACTATACATAAGTTCGATTGCTAAAAGATAAAAATTTAAAACTATCTTATATGAAGGATCAAAATTAAAGATTAGTTCATTTAAAAGATTAAAAAAAGAAGAAGAGCAACTTACAAAAATAACTATATTTATAGGGTAAATGAATACCAATAGCTATAAGTATGTTATTTACAATAAATGACTACAATTTATATCACTTTTTTGCTGTATTTTTGTATAGTTTTGTATTTTTATTTATTTATACATTAATACATCTTTAAGTACAACAAACTAAATAAGGAATCGACTCTAAATATAACCCACTATCCTTACATTACGTTCATACAATGAGAAACTTCCCACAATTAACTTTATAACTAAAAATTACTTATTTAAAGACATATTAGATCATATTCTTTATCAGTTTAACAAAAATTGTGATATATACATCATACTCAATTTTCTTGTTGTCTCCATATTTCTTATTCTGGCGTCGTAAGGTATTAATAATTTTTTTTGTTAATTCAAGTTATTGTATGTAAGCAAAATTTGTTGAATTTGTGAATGAAGATTAAGTATTTCGATTTTGAATAGGTGAACTACATGGCAATACATACACTAGTTGTTAAACAAAAAATGAATACACCAATATATAATACAATGAATACATTGTTGTTAAACACAAAAATGAATATGTTGGATATAACTATACTTGTATTACCTAATCAACTTTTTATCTTAGATATAGTACTTATCCTATCTAGATATAATTGTATTCGCAAATCAACATTTGAACTTGTGCTTATATAACAATACAAATATCTATGTATATAAATATGGATACATTTCAACACTGTTGTTAAGCAAAAATATGGATACATTAGACAAACGAGCAAAAAAGATACAATTTGTGGGTATCAAACTGTATAATTATTCTTCTAAATAAAATTTTGAAAAGGCCAACAATATAGTATTGATGTATCCAACTATACTTGAATTCCCTAAT